CTCGTCCAAGCAGTCACTGCAGGGTCAGCAATGACTGAGTGCAGACAAAAAAAAAAAAAAAGCTGGCCAAAATGAGATATGTTAGAATATGTTAGAATTACTATATGCATGGAGCTAATGCACAGCAATAAAGCCCTATCTTGTTATAAAGGATGGCTTTGCTGTGGCCTAAGGACTGACTAAGGATCCCACCTCAGATCCAAGGGATTCCTATTCTTTTAGCCTTCTGGAAGACCATGAGGACCTGGCTGTTCCCCCAGACATTGGGCTAGGATGGGGATTGAGCTGGGAGGTTGCTTGGTCTGGTGCCTGGGGGAAGGAGATAGGCAGTCATGTAAGTTCTGCAAACAAATGAAGTTATAGCTTAGGCTGCAATCCTGCATATACCTGAGATAACACTCCATTGATTTCAATAGTCTTTACTCCTGAGGCTACCCCACAAACCTTTATGATAAAGACTAAACTGAAACCTTCATGATAAAGACTTAACCCTATCCAGAAACCTTTGTTTCTAATGTTGCTTCACCCAAAGCTCACTCAATGTAACTATAATCAAGGCACTGGGCCTCAACCCTTATGAGAAATGTAAAACAAGTTCACTGAGGCAACCCTCATCTGAAATGTAAAACAAGCTCACTACCACAACCTTCCTAAAGGTTGGTGCTTTGTAGGGATGTTTGACTGCAGCCTATCATTTCCAGCCAGAATGCTGCTGTACACAGTTGACAGGAGTTATAGTCCAGTACATCCAAAGCAATCATTCCCAACCGATGTCCAAGGAATAACTGGATCTGAGGGAGTAGTGCAGGTGGACCTTACCACAATATATAAAATGGGACACATGAGAACATTTGAGCCAGATATCCAATGGTCTGACTTGACACAAAGTAGATTTATTTCTCCCTTCCTATTGTAATTTACACAGGAAGACTTTCTCATTCTGCTTGCGTTCCCTAGAGAATGGACAAAACAGCTAAAGCCATATGAGGGATGATCTTCATGACAATGACCTGGGAGAAATGGAAGACTTACCCTGTTGGAAGAATGAAAGACCAAAGTATGCCTCTTGCACTATCTGGGAAGCTGTTCAAATCCAGGGAAGTTAAACCTCAGTATATTCTTCAAGGATTGTAGGGGGACTGGACACAATAGAAGAAGCCACATTAAAATGTGGTTTGAAAGGTATTTTTCATAGAAATACGAAAGCTATTTTTAAGTAACTGTGATTTTTAAGGTTTTTTAAGGTTTTTTTTCCCCCTCTGCTGCTTTGATTTTTAAGGTATTTCGATGATTTTCATGGGTTTCATTTAATGTTTTAAAATTGAATGGTACCTGAGAGCTATTAGCTATAAAGTGACTAATAAATCTTAAAAATAAGAAATAAATAAACTTGCAAAGGACTTGTGATGTTGCTTTTTATAACGAATGGAGAAAGCTTTCTTCGTTTTTCAGACTATTGGCTGTCTAAACTCCAATTTTAAGCCCTTAGTTCAGCTTCAAGATATTGAACTGGCATCCATTCAAGACTCATTGACAAACTTGAAAGAAAAAAAGGTAAATTATTAAGGATTTTCTCAGCACCCAGTTAGAATGGAATCAAGTTTGAATCTCTACATTTGCTGTATTATTGCTTCCCTTTTGCTTGCATGCAGCAGGTATATTTAGCACATCCCTCTCTTCCTACCTACTTCTTTTCCCCGGGCACAGAAGCTGTTACTTCTCATTGCTTTTTATGGTTCCCAATTATTGTTTTAATCACTTATGATTTCCACTGATTTAAGAAACTTTCCTCTCTGAATCTGGGTCATACATTTCACAAGCACATACCAAAACAGCTAATTTTATTCTAGCATAGTCAGCCCACTATGTAAAACTCCTCATGAACTTTGTAAATATACCCAGAAGAGAAATCTGGCTGTGGGAAGGAAAATGCTGTAGAAACAAACCAACCTGGTATCTCTGCTTCTTTTGTAAGGATACATTTAGATGGCTACCTATAGAGACTAAGTATCCTGTTTTAGTGCTTTAGTTGATCCTATAATTCAAATGCATTTCAGTCAATCTACCAGAAAGATGAAGGAGGATGCTTTGTCTAGATCACTATTAACCAGACAAAGCTTATAACATGCCTCAGTTGTGTAGTGCAAGGAATGGACTTTCTGCCCTAAACATCAAAATTAGTTCAAGAAAGAGAGACAGCATGTACCATGTCTAACCACACTCAAGTAAAACTTGTATTTGATTATGAGATACTGCTAGGAAGATTTATCAATTATTTATTGACCCACAAATTAATTCATCATTTTATACAAGCCAAAAGGATATCAATCTTTAAAACATGTATCATAGCCAGCTACAAGAATCAATAACACCATTCACAAGGGTCACCCTAGCAAGCTCACTTGCTTCTTTAAAGCCAAACCTGCTGCAACTGATAATTATACTGTTAACCATTATACTGTCCTGATAATGGTACCGTTAACCATGTGTGCTGCTATGAAACAGATTTACCGAAGTGTAAATACGTTTCACAGTTCAGCAGTGCAGAGTTTTTGGTCACTGGCAAATTCTTTCTTGTCCTGCAAATCTAATGAGCAATACAGAGAATTATATAAAATAGTTATAAAAGAGACCAAGAAACCGGGGGCATCCTAGGTTCCATGTTGTAGAACAGAGCAGTTGAACAAATGCAGACAGCAGTATTTCAAATTCCTCCCTCTTATTAGTCACTTTCCTAGCATCCTGAGGAGCTAACAGCAGTGGTATTTGCTCAAAACATACATGTGATTTACAGGTTTCTCTGGAGTTTGTGACTATATAAGGCAAATCTCACATTGGTTATCGGGTACAAAATCAGTCCCTTGATATAAAATTCTGTGCAATGGGTGGCAAAATCACAAAAGTCATAGTTGGAAAAAACTGCTGAAGAGCAATGGAAGGAGCAAATTCTTGCATTATAGATTGCTGGCTTTTCAGTGCTATCTTGATGACCACTATGAGAAGCAGAATGATGCAGTAGATAAAACTTACTCAGATCCTGCAAGACAGCTCTTCCACAATATTATGTGCTGGCCAAACCACATCTATAGCATCATGTCCATTTCTGAGTCCATTGTTTTTAAAAGCACACCAACAAACTAGAGTGTAACCAAATGGTACGCTGAAATCTTTAGGGAATGTTTGAAAAATTGGATTTGTTTAGCATTGAGACAAGAAGGTACACCCAGTGATGCTAACTGGTGATCCAGCAAACTCAGTCAAAATGAAAATTGCCAATTTTGTATTGTAATAAAACTTTTGCAGTAAGAATGCTTACACAAATTTTGTAAAAAATTGCTCATAGTCCACTTCAGTGGTAAAAGTACATACATTCATATTACAAAAGAAAGCAGATGTCCCTAACCAAAGTTTGAGAAGCTGAAAAAGATATATATGCCCTTTTAAGAATAGAATTCACTAGGCTGTTTGTGACTCTTCCATCCGCAATACTTACAGAAAGTTCTAGCTAGTGTAGGACTGTGGTTTACTGGGAAATTCTGTTAAGCATCAGTTACTGTGCTCTGCAAAGAAAACAGCTGGAATCACAATCAAGCAGGACTAATGGGTAGCTGCAGGAAGGCAAGAGTGCTCTCCAGGAAAGCAATTTTGAAAAATGGTGGGTGAATGCCGAGCCTACACATAGTAGAAAAAATAGACTAGAAGGAGGAAGACCAGTTTTGGGAGAAGCAGAGAAGACAGACATTAGATTGATTGGGACCCATTACACTGTGCTGGGAAGGAAAAGAAAAAAAAAACAACAGCAGAAAATTTAATCCCTAAAAAGATTCATTTTTGAAAGTTTAAGAGGTGCTTGTGAAATTGGAACATAATTTAATTTTGCTAAGCAATCATTTTTTCAGTGGACATAAATTGCTTGGCAGACTATCTTGGACTGTTGGAATGGTTCCTCGCTATTCACAGTCATGGCCTGGCTTAAAGCAGAAGAGGTCATCTTTCTCAGAGTTGCCTGCATAACTGGCAAAGTATGAACCTGTGTGTGGGGTCTTCTCTTTTTTTGGGGGGGGTGGTAGCCAGATATTAGACATCCTTCCTAAAAGGGAGTCTCCTTTTGTCCTTAGCAGCATTCCTTTTCCTCTTCTTGTTTAGGAAGCTCTCCAGCTTCCCACTTTTCTTCAGCTCTTTGTATTTCTCAGCAAGTTCCAATTTGTGCATTTCAGCTGTAGATGTCAAGAAAGGATGTAGGTCTTAATTCAAATCATAAGTGTTCATAACATCCCGAGCAATTATGTTCTATAACTTATGCTTGACTTCCCATTCACTATTTTCACCCGTCAACATAATCTTTCAACATGGTCCCATAAATCATGTGACACAGATATTAGTAACTAGTTGCTATAAAAATAACATTAAAACTCATTTAAGTGCTGGCAGTGGCTATCCTAAACATCATGTAAGCCTAACAAAACCATCCCTCATTCAATAATTTAGAGAATAGTTCAACAATTTAGAGAAAGTAAATGGTCCTGGTGCGGGCATATTAAATGCCACACTCATAGACTGTTTGGAGCAGAAACAGACGCAGCACTCCAGTCCCTCCAATCTTTTTAACAGATGCCAATATGAGCCTTATTCTCCAGTTTCTACAAATCAATTAGCTATCCTGAACAGGTCTCCTAATATTTCCTATTGATGCAGGAAGGGGACTATATCAAGGTCAAGGTCAGGTAGAGCAGCTATTATCCTAGTGGGAAAAGCTTACATTTCTTTAGGAAGAAAGGCTTCTTTCCTTGCTTGGCCAACTCTCTTTGCTGCCTCTTGAATGCCAGGGAATTTTCTCTCTCCTTCTGGCGTCTCCTCTGTGCTTCTTCCTGTTGTGTCTAAGAAGCAAAGAAGGGCAAGAAACAAAGATGTTGCATTTCTCCTCTCCTCACTTTCATTTGCCTCACAGTTTTATGATCGGTGATCTCTATAGCTTTGTGTCTGCCTGTCGCCTGCATCTCAGAAGGGTAAACTGGCTGCTTCAATTCTCTTTGGCACCAACTCACCATTCGCTTAAGGAGCTGCTGCAATTTGTTTTGTTCTTCCACATTTTGGCTTTTCTTCAGTTGTTTCTGAATAACCTGCAAAATAGGAAAGCACTGACTCTCTAGGGATATCTGTTTTCATTCTGAAGGAAGAAACACAGGGCACTGTTACATCATTACCTCTTTTTCCTTCTTCCTCAGATCATTCAAGAAACTGTATGTTTTTTCAAACACTTCTGGTTTATATTCCCCAGAGAGGTCATCAAAACGAGGGTCTCGGGACACCTGTAGAGGAGGAAATGGGATCAAATACTAGCATTTCAGCAATGCCAGAAAATAGTTTTGTGTTCTAGGAAGCCCATGTTTTGTGAGCATAGTACCATTTTGGCCATATTCCCTTCCCTCAGTTCATCTTCTTCAGCATTTTGCTTTTGAAACTAAGAGACTTCTCAAATACTGAAGCCAACTTTATTCTATGCATTTCTTCCAAATAAATTTCAGTGCTCGAATATTCCCGCAGTATTTCTATTGCACTTTCTTTTCTATCCACAAAGATCTCTTTTCTATGTTCAAACACAAGGGTACCTACCTTTTTCTTAACAGGCACTACTTGCCGCAAAAAAGGTACTGGCATTTTGGCTGAAGTTTCCAAAGGCCTGCAGAACAGGAAAAAAAAACACACTTTTTTTTTTTGGTGAAAAAAAGTTTCATGGAATTTTGGATATTTGGTGGCCTGATTCTCAAAACTACTTCTTCTGAATACAATAAATAAATAAGTATCAATGGATGCCACCAGGGCACAGAATATATGTTTATAATTGTTTTTCATGATTCAAACTTCTTCCATTCATTAGGCCTGAGAAGGACTGAAAAACCAAATTATACAGGCTTCTCTAAGAATGTGTTTCACAGAGGCAGCTTTGTACTGACCAGATAAGAATTGTTCTGTTGCTCTGTGGCCTGGTGTAACCTAATAGCCCAGACAGCTTCCTCCAAGCTCACACAGCTGTGCTTTGCAAAGAAGCTTCTAGCTTAGGCAAAGCTGGCACTACTCTGTGACTAATAAAGGAAATCAAACTATATCCTTCAATATGCTTTTAGAACCTGCTGCATGCACAGTACTGAAAGCATGTCTCATCAACTGAGCCTATCTTCTTCACAGAGACCTTTGAAACACTGCCCTATAAGGCATCTAGTCCATGGGGTTGTCAGCTGGAATTTCCTGAATCTTGCATGAAGGAGACCCTCACACAATTCAGTAATATCTCAGAAGATTAAGACCGCAAGACATAAGGCTAACAACCTCTGGCTATATTTTAGCCATTTCCAGGAAGACTGGGTCTTCAAGGTTACTTCTTAAAAGATTGACAAGTCTAATTTTTTGAACCGTGAGCAGTCCTCTTCCTTTCCTGCTGGTCATTATAAGAACTTCACAACCTTAAATATTTCTTGTTTTCTTCTATTCCTTTCATCTTTTTCCCCTTTCTATGATGAACGTTAATTTTTAAGCCTAAAGGCATAAAGTGCCTTGTTTTCTCTTGATCTAGAGACCTTTTCACTAAAGAGCAGGACAAATATGTTTTAAATAAATAAAATGTAGTTATACAGGAAGTATATGCCCAGCACCTTAAAACTAAGAGGAGAAATTAAAGAGAAAAATCCATTAATGCAAGCCTGACTTTAATATTTTACATTTGAGAACAAGAGGCTCACTAGCTTCAGAAGATATTATCTGTTATAGTTATAGTTAAAATTCTGGTAGTAATTCTCTTACAGTAGCTGCATATTCAATCAGTGTGCATTAGTTTTCTAAACTCCTTGCTACATATCAACAGACTATAGAATTTCAGTTGATGAATACTCTTCCTTTTAACCAATTACTGATTAATCACTACATTCAAATGCATGCACACAACCTACCAAAATCTCAAACCTTTTTAGAGATGATAGAGGAAATGCAATCAGTCTGTCTGCTGAATTTTAATTTTACTCTCATTGTCAGAAGGGAAACCATCTTAATTTCTCTTTTTTTATTCATAACACAAGACTATGCTGTCTTGAGAAATAAGGACATGGATCCCTAAATTTTTATCACTGTTGATTAAAATTAGTTTCATCACAAAAATTACATGTGTAAAGTTAAGCATGTGTTCTATACAGTAAATTCTAGTGAGCGTTGCAAATTTACTATAAACTTACAGACCCTACAAACTTACTATGTAGTAAATTCTAGTCACCTTTACTAATCCACAACCCAAACAATGCAATGAATTTCTCTGACAGTTTTTAGGCCCTTGAATGGTACACTGCAAAACTGGCAATGGGATTAGGACTTCACTTAACTTACATTTAGATAAATTTAATTAAATGCAATTAATATGATTTTTCTCCACCTATCTATTTTCTCCTTCTGATATATTAAAAATAGAATTTGGTAATAACTTTTTAATGTCTCTGGATGTCCCACCTAAGTTTTGAGGAGACCAATTGCAGCCCTGAAGCATAAGATTGTGCATCTGTGACTTAAAAGATACTTGGGAGGGGAAAAATGAGTTCACATGACCAATGCACTCCACCAAATCAAATCCCATCTTCCACTGCTTCCTATTAAAGGAAGGCAAAGCAAACTCCTATGCTCTCCTTAGCTGAATGTCTCAGTTGGTTGAAGATTCATACTCAGATACTACCGTCCCCTGGAAGCATATACAGACTGTGTATATCTGGCCGTCAGCAAAATCTCCTTGGGCAAGGAAACGGGGACTGAAGCAAGGGATAATTTCAACTCCATTATTTTCCTACAGGGACAGGTTCTGTAGACACCAGATTCCTTCTTAGTCTTGCCCTACTGTTTTAGGTTCCATTGCATTCACATACTGTATTCTTCAGTTGTTCTGCTAATATATATAATAATAGCTTATAAATATGAAAATTGAAGAAAATATTTTACTTCTATTGGCATAGGTGGATTCTAATAGCCTGATTGTATTTCAGTGATTCCAATCTGTATGGCAAATTAATTTATACAATCAGTGTATTGAACAGAAAAAAACACTAATAAAAAGCATTCAGACTGTGCATCTAATTACATGCTTTTATCATTCCTTTTTCTTTTTACCTGCATTGATTATCTCTTGAGAAGATTTCATTTTTCTCAGAAGTGAAGGGCAAAGACTGTAACTCATTATGGGGGCACTGCTCAATACTGCCAAGGGATGAAAATTTCAAACAGAAGCGACTCCTCTGATTGAAGTTTGCATTTTTATGTTTAGGGAGAGATTTCCTTTTTAATGTGGTTCCCTAGCCTACATGTTTAGATCAGAATTTATATTAAGTAATTATTTATTTTTTTGCAGCAAGAATTACACTGAAGTCTTTGAATGACACAATTTATATAAACTGCAATATTTCCCGTCAAGATTCAAGACAGGTAAATGTGACTTCCATACATTTAGGAGAAAAGCTTTTGCACTGATAAAATGTTTGCAGCACCTGCTGCCAAATCCTTAAAGAAAGCAGAACTTCTGTACTTGCACAGTCCCAGGAAAATATGCATTTGTGTAAAGGAGGTATCTTAATGCTTTAGTACGATATTAAGTCGTAGAGGATAGCAGTACATTGGACTTAATGTGAAAATCCATTCTTAACAGCAGAGACTGGGCATCCTCTAGGGAGGGTTTTTTCAAACTGAGTTCCACGGAATCCTAAGGTTCCATAAGAATTTGAATGGGTTCCCGGAGGGACTAGGAGGGAAAAAAACCTCTCAAACTCACTGATGTTGGACACACACTCAAACAGCTGCTCTTTTCCTCTCACTGGCTGCATGTCATCAGTGTTCACCATCACCATCATTCACAAGTGGTCTGTGAAGGAGGTTCTGGCTGCCTTCCTTCACTACCATTCGAGTCTTCTCTCTTCCCACATGCACAAGCAAAAAACTGAACTTCTTGCCTGCCTCCAAACTCCAACAAACATTTTCCCCACCAGCCCATGTTTTCTAAAGGGCAGCTGAAAGCAGAGAGAGCTAAAATCCAGGAGTTTCTAACTTGCTTAGCTACACAAGAGCAATTTTGGTGAGTTCCTCCCTCTTCACTTTCCATTTTGCAGACCATATTTGTGCGTAAGCATATGTGTGTCTGCAAGAGGCCTGCTTAATCATCAAGCTGGCATCCTGTGCACATCTGAGCTGTATGGGAATTAATGAAGACACTTAGGATTGCACTTCTTGGCTGCAGTCTATGTGTGCCTTGAATCCTTTTGGAGTGGGACTTACTCCAGAGCAAACATATAAGAATTATGTTTGCAAAGGCTGGCAGGCAAGGGGAAGATGGATGTTTAAGTGGCTTCAGCCAGACATTCATAATGGAAAAAATCCATGCCGTAAACACCCATCCTAGATACTGGATGAGCCAGTTTGGTGCAGTGGCTAAAGTGCTGGGCTAGAAACCAGGAGTCTATGAGTTCTAGTCCTCCCTTAAGCATGAAAGCCAGCTGGGTGACTTTGAGCCAGTCACTCTCTCTCATCACAACTCACTTTACAAGGTGGTTGTTGTGGGAAAATAGGAGGCAGGAGCATTAGGTTTGTACACTGCCTTGAGTTGATAAAAAATAATGATGGGAAAACAAATAAATAAATATTTATCCTTCACTATATTTAATACATTATTTTTATTTTGAGTTTTTTGAGTAGGCCTAATAAACCTTTTTCCCGATATGGATCATTGGTTACAGACTGGTAGAATTGCAGGTAGTATAGAAAAAGGTGAAAACAGAAAAAGCAAAACAAATGCAAAGGTTGCTGGTGTTGCTTCTTCTTATGGCACAAATTTTGAAATTAAGCTGAAGCACAAGTAAGAAACAGAAAACATTGGTTTTACATGAACAGATAAGGAAGGTGAACCAAATAAACTGTCTACTAAATGAGAACAAGTATTGGGTAATAATAGTATGAATTCTGCAAAATTACGAAGACAGCTGGAAACCAAACATCCAACCTAAAAGATAAAAGTCCTGAGTATTTCAAAAGAAAATGGATTAAACTCCGTGAAAAGAAAACAGCATTTCATACATTTTTGAATAACAAGAAAAATATCCAAAGCACTGATTTGTTTGGTTAAAACATTAACTTTCCAAATATTTGTGAAATTCAAGTTTTATTTTTTTGTAACAGCAAATGTTAATTTTGCATTTTACAATAAATGCTTTACTTTTCATTTTATTGCCAATTTTCTATCACTAGTGCCTTGCCTCTTGATTAGAGGTTCTGGGTGTCATTTTTTTTTTTTTAACTTAACATGTTCTGGGGCCTGAAAAAGTTTGAAAACCCCTGTTCTAGTGGATATCTCCTTCCCACTTGCTCCAGAGGAAGGGCTTAGATTAGATTCAGTGTTGCTTTCTGTAGTGGGGAATAGCTCAAGCCATAAAGAGAACTCAAAGATATATGAAAAGGTATAAATAAGAGAATTATCTGTGAACCATACATGATTTGCCAAAGGGATCTGCCCCCCCCCTTTTAAAATAATAATGGGTGGGCTGGATACCCTGTCTCTGTTATAAAAATAGATCTTCATGGTAAGTCTGATGTATTCTTTTTCTACCAAGACATCCTATAATAGGACATGCTAAAGTTATCCATGAAGATGGACTGTAGATCTAAGTG